CTCCGCCTCCTGGGTTCAGGCAATTCTCCTGCCTCAGCCTCCTGAGTAGTTGGGATTACAGGCACGCGCCACCATGCCCAGCTAATTTTTTGTATTTTTAGTAGAGACGGGGTTTCACCATGTTGACCAGGATGGTCTCAATCTCTTGACCTCGTGATCCACCCGCCTCGGCCTCCCAAAGTGCTGGGATTACAGGCTTGAGCCACCGCGCCCGGCCATGGCATTTTATTTGTAAATATATGTATTACATCCCTAGAAAAAGAATCCCAGGATTTTCCCTCCTGTGTGTTTTCATCTTGCTTCTTCATGGTCCATGATGCCAGCTGAGGTAGTCAATACAATGAAACCAAACTGGCGGGACGGAAGCAGATTATTCTGCCATTTTTCTAGATCTTTGAGTTGCACATCAAATCTGGGGCTGATCACAGCACACTTGTTTAGCCTACCTCTGAGGTTCACAACAATTTTCCCAGCTCTGAGATCGTCGGTGATTTCAGATTCGCCAATGTAACCATGCTTCATCATCACAGTGAGAAACTGGACGATGACTTTGGAGCACAGCCTAGTAAGCACCTGGCGTTTGCCTCTCTTTTCGACATTGTTGATGCTCTTGAGAGCATCAACCAGGACATTCATGCGCACCGTTGTGGCGGCACAGAAAGATGGTGGAAAGAGCAAAACAAAATGTTTTATAAGTGATTATGAAATGTTTTTTCATAGGCCAAAACTTACATAAGCCATGATTTCATTATAATCCAATGGAAAATTGTAATGCTTCTTTTAGTGGTAACTTAATTTTTAAATGGTTTAATGATCATTTATTTGGCTAACTTTGCCATTAATGGCTGAAATGGTATTGCATATTTGTAATTGCATACTTTAGATAATCCTAAAGTGGGGAAATATTACTAGTAAATTATCCCTGAATTATCTGGGTACATAATAATGCATTGTCAGCGCTCATCAGTTGTTTGAGGCCTGCAAATATACACAGATAGACAGTAACATTTGCAGCATATTTGGGGATTTTTTGCATGAAATTAGCATTTTTTTAAGCAAAACATTATATTTTGGAATAATTATGAGATGTGGGTACCTGAGCAGAGATTTACAGGAAACATTATCAGGAGAGAAAGCATGATGAGAGCACCCGATATTACATTCTTCAGTTGGTGCTGTGACCAGGCTCTGACCTCATGAAAGGAAAAATGTTATTTATTTATTTATTTATTTATTTATTTTTTGAGACGGAGTTTCGCTCATTACCCAGGCTGGAGTGCAATGGCGCAATCTCGGCTCACCGCAACCTCCGCCTCCTGGGTTCAGGCAATTCTCCTGCCTCAGCCTCCTTAGTAGCTGGGATTACAGGCACGCACCACCATGCCCAGCTAATGTTTCGTATTTTTAGTAGAGACGGGGTTTCACCATGTTGACCAGGATGGTCTCGATCTCTTGACCTCGTGATCCACCCGCCTCGGCCTCCCAAAGTGCTGGGATTACAGGCTTGAGCCACCGCGCCCGGCCAGGAAAAATGTAATTTATAAGTACAAACCCCATTTTTGGTTTTGCTCCCCACCCCCCCGCCTTTTTTTTTTTAAGTTGAGACAGGGTCTAGCTTTGTCACCCAAGCTAGATGCAGTGGATCAATCTCAGGTCGCTGCAACTCTGCCCTCTGCCTCCCAGGCTCAAGTAATCCACCCACTTCAACCTTCTAAATAGCTGGGGTTGCAGGCAGATGCCACCACACCTGGCTAATTTTTGCATTTTTTGTAGAGACAGGCTTTTGTCAGGTTGCCCAGGCTGGTCTTGAACTCCTGAGCTCAAATGAACCACCCACTCTGGCCTCCCAAATTGCTGGGATTATAGGTGTGAGCAGCCTCGCCCAGCCAAACCCCGTATTAAGCAAAAACTTGCTAAGAGATCTTTTCAGAAGGCAGGGAATGAGTATGGCTACTGTGTAATTATCTGAAGGATTTTTTTTTTTTTTTTCTGGCCTTCTAGTTATTATGTTTAATTACCCAAGCCCTAAGGCATTAAAGAACTTCACCTACCTAACTTTGTAGTTTTTTACTTTTTTTTTTTTTGAGACAGGGCTTCACTGTCACCTAAGCTGTAGTGCAATGACACGATCTCGGCTCACTGCAGCCTCTACCTCCTGAATTCAAGCTATCCCATCTCAACCTCCTGAGTAGCTGGGAACACAGGCACGTGCCACCATGCCTGGCTAATTTTTATATTTTCCATAGAGACAGGGTTCGCCATGTTGCTCAGGCTGGCCTTGAAATCCTGGGCTCAAGGGATCCTCTTGCTTCGGCCTTCCAAAGTGCTAGGATTATAGGCGTGTGCCACCATGCCCAGCCCTTTACTTTCTTATAATAGAAATTTAATGGAGATAATACTGTAGATGTAAAGGTATCGTTTTAGTCATCTACAGAAAGTACTAGGAACAATTAAAACAAGTCACCATAGGCCGGGCGCGGTGGCTCAAGCCTGTAATCCCAGCACTTTGGGAGGCCGAGGCGGGTGGATCACGAGGTCAAGAGATCGAGACCAGCCTGGTCAACATGGTGAAACCCCATCTCTACTAAAAATACAAAAAAATCAGCTGGGCATGGTGGCGCGTGCCTGTAATCCCAACTCCTCAGGATGCTGAGGCAGGAGAATTGCCTGAACCCAGGAGGCGGAGGTTGCGGTGAGCCGAGATCGCGCCATTGCACTCCAGCCTGGGTAACAAGAGTGAAACTCCGTCTCAAAAA